GTGAGCACAGCGCACACTGAGAGGGAGGACTGAGTGTGTGAGCACAGTGCACACTGAGGGGGGGACTAAGCGTGTGAGCACAGCATACACTGGGAGGGAGGACTGAGTGTGTGAGCATAGGGAGCACACTGGGAGGGAGGAGTGAGTGTGTGAGCACAGGGAGCACACTAAGAGAGAGGACTGAGAACAGTCTAGTCCCCAGACAGTGAGGCTTGGGAGTCTTGCCTCAGGCTTATGGCACTGGGCAGTCAGGCGTCAGGACTTGAGCAGAGAAGGCTATGAGGGAAGCTGAAGGGCCTGGGAAGCCAAACTCTACACTGCCACCTGGTGGGCCACCGGTTAGAGCAGTGGTTCTCAACCTGTGGGTCACTTGTCCTTAGAATGTGAAGTTGCAAATCAGATCTCCTGTATGTCGAATACTTACATAATGGTTCATAACGGTAGCAAAATTACAGTTATATAGTAGCAGTGAAATAATTTTATCTTGGGGGCGGGGGTCACCACCACTTGAGGAACTGTATTAAAGGGTCACAGTGTTAGGAAGGCTGAGAACCACTGCTCTAGAGTGTCCAGTACAAGTCATCCAGAGTGCAAGCCCTGCATGACCCCTGACCTGCACCACAACCCTTTGAGGTGAGCTGCCCTTGTTGGGCATGGTGGCATGGAGGATAATCCCAGCACTCAGGACGTGGACGGCTCTCTGTGAGTTCAAGGCCAGCCTGATCTATACAGCAAGTACCAGGCCAGTCAAAGCTACACAGTAAGACTCAGAACCAACAGAAAAAAGTGAGCCAACCTCACATAGGAGGCAGGGCTGTGCCCAATGTTCCAGCTCTGAGCCATGGGCTGGCCACGCATGGCTACCCCAGTCAGGGGACAATCCCACCTCCACTGAAGCCACCACACATGTCCCCAAGCCACCAGTCTTCACAGGCTGCTGCAGGTCTTACTGGGCTCCAGCACGGGTGACACTGCCACACTAAGAGCCCGCAGAGTCTGTTAGAAAGTCCCACAGATTCCTGTTGTCCCTGGGACCCAGCGCAGCACCTACCCAATGGGCTTCTTGGCCCCGTGGAACTCCTTCAGGACACGCTCGACCTCCTTGTTAACCTTGCAGTCCTTCCCGTCCACGGCGAACGTGCTCCTGCCACAAGAGGAGAGGCTGTCCTCATCAAGTGTCCCCACAACCTGAGTGGCCCACTGCACACCAGAGGAGCTGCCCAGGGTGTGGCCACAGGCCAGGCGGGCAGCCTGCTATCACGAGGAATGCATAATGGCTTATCCAGCTTCTCAGTCACCAGTCAGCCAGCAGGGTGGAGGGCAAGAGGGGGGTGGCCAGTCTGTGAGTACACTCGGCCTTCAGAGACCAGGGGCAGCAAAACAAACCAAAACCTCAAAGAGGGTTCTGGAAAAAGGAACATGGTTAGCTTAAAAGTAGCAGCCATTAGCACACGGAGTGTCTGCCTTGTCTGCCTCTTCTTCCTGAGAGTGTGAGGGCCATCAGCAGCTGAGGAGGTGGGACACTCTCTATCCTTAGAGAGTGCAACCTGGCAGAACCCAGCGCCTTTCTGTCAGAATGCAGCCTCCAGGCCCTCCTCTGCTGCGGCCTGGAGGTCTGGCACTGAGGGACCAGGTTCACCATCAAGTGCTAACTTCTGTCAGCCAGACTCACCAAATCCTTTCACCCTTTAATCAATCTCTGTCTTTCTCTCTCTGTCTGACACTGTTAAAAACAAGCAACAAGCAAGGCTACAGGTCACCTGAGCCACCAGAGTGGCAAGTAGCATGACTCACAGCACCCTGGACACCATGTGGAGTCTACACCACTGCGGAAGAGTTCTCAAGCCAGCTGGAAACCACAGATAAGTGCATCAGGCAAAGCGAGAGCACAATGCTGGGAGCGATGAACATGGCCACACACGTGGGGCTTCTCCAGAAGATACACAAGGCCAGCCGCAGTGCCTGGAACAACCGTCTTCCCACAGGAAGACTGAGACATGCACACACGAAGCCTATCACCTGCCAGGCCCCAGGCTCGTAAACCAGCCACCCCCTACCTCATCCCTGCCAAATCTGAGTCCCCCCTTCACTGTGCATGTACACTAAGCCTTAGCCACTGGCTGCCACATGCACTGCTACCTTTCACGGACAGTGGCCACCACCAACTAGCACGATGGTCTCATGGGCAAC